GCTGTACTAAGAAACTGGCCTTGTGAGTCAAGAACAAGGTTCCTGATGTAAACACGCCAATGAAAAAGGCTCCCATTGCCTTTGAAACAAACCCAGAAATAGGTCTCAACTCTGAATTGGTTTGAGCGGGTTGAGTTTCTAGAGCTTTGTGGTACTTTCCTCCCCCACATCTATGATGCTTTTGTACATGAATTATGGGGTTGGGGTGAAGGTGGAGGCGGGGCTATAAATGTTTCTTTAATAAATTAATTGATTTTTTTTGTTCCTGAGCAGGAGCCATTCAAGTCTCAGAGGGATAGAAGATTATGTGACTATTCAGATAGTTGCATGACCCTCTTGTTGGTAGAATATGAGCCACCACTAGGTTCTTTTCTAAGCTAGGAAAAGTAGTCGAATTTAAGCTGGGCTTTACTATGAAGTCCAACTTAATTTCAACCTTGTTTCCAAATCTAATAAAGTCTTACTTGACATGACTCCTAATTTCCTTACAGCCACTAAATTTTTCTATTCGAAGAAAATGGAATTCCCTGCTATTTTTCAAAGTTATGTGAATTCACAATTTGTAATGTTGACTTTAGGGACAGAATGCACACACAAAGCTTATATACCAGCAAGTCATTAGAGTGTGTTTAGTTTTTGGATATATGCTCATGTTTATTTATTCTACCAATATGGTAGAATTTTGGAAGGGATCTGTTCTGGGCCCAATAATGTTTGTTGGATAGGATTAGGATTCTTAATGACCTTGCTAAACTAGAGAAATGGTCCAAAATTAATCAAATGAAGTTCAATAAGTGCAAAGGGCTGCATGTAGAATGCACAGATACAAAGAAAGACTGGATAGGCATTATATGTACTGGAGAAAAAAAGCTGAGGACTATAGTGGACTGTAACCTGAATATAAGCCAAGATCATTCCCTCATTCCAAAATGAGCTAATAGCATGTTGGGCTGTACTAACAGGAGATTGGTTGCAAATCAAGGCAAATGTTTCTTCTGTTGTTTGGCACTGGCCAGGCTTCACCGGGAATACTGCATCCAATCTGGGGCACTACATTTCAAGAACGATGTGGACAAATTAGAGTCCAATGGTGAGCAACAAAAATGACTAGTGATCTAAAAATGTGACTTAAGAGAAAAGGTTAGAAATAATAGAATTATTTCCTCTGAAGAAGAGATGAAGCAAGGATTTGGTAACAGTCTTCAAATACCTGAGGGCTGGTTCTATGGAGGCTGGTGACAGGCCATTCTCTGTGACTGTAAGGGAAACAACTGTCTTAAATTGCAACAAATCAAATTGAAGTAGAATATTAGGATGAACTTTCTAACCATGCAGGTGGTTAAACATTGGACTGGGCTACATAAAGAGGCTGTGGAATCTCCATCCTTCTTAACTTTTAATAGCAGATTAGACAAAAATGTGTCTGAATTGGTTTAAACGGAGATGATCCTCCAGAAAAGCTGGACTAGATGACCTCCTGAGGTTACTTCTAAGTTTACTTTTCTGTGATTCTATAACTAGGTTTCATGGGACACCTTGTGGAGTGTTCCTGGGAAATGTTCTGTAGAATTAACCTGTCTCCTAGACAGAAGTGCTAGGCTGTGCTTCATCTCCCCAGCTCAGAGGCAGGGTGTGACATTTCATAGCTTCATAGTTTCTAGCGTTGGAAGGGACCCGAGTAGATCATCTAGTCCGACCCCCTGCCATGGCAGGAAAGAGTACTGGGGTCAAACGACCCCAGCAAGGTGTTCATCTAGTCTCCTCTTAAAGACCCCCAGGGTAGGAGCCAGCACCACTTCTCTTGGAAGTTGGTTCCAGATCCTAGCCGCCCTGACCGTGAAGTAGCGCCTCCTGATATCTAGCCTAAATCTACCCTCTGCCAGCTTGTGACCGTTATTCCTGGTCACTCCTGGTAGTGCTCAGGGGAACAGGGACTCCCCCAATGACTGCTGGTCCCCTCTGACTAGTATTTGTACATAGGACTTTTAGAGCCTGCAGCTTCGGCAGTGCTTTGGAGTGGGGCTGGGAGGGAAAGCCCCAAAATGTTTTTCTTTGGAATTTTGCAAGATCAAACACGAGCCAGCCACTCTGCATCAGTTCTTTTAAAGCTTTTACTTAAATGGTTTAGAGACAAATTTGATTCTAAGTTCTACTGCTCTTATTCATGGGAATAAGCCATTGAATTCAAGCTCAGCAGAATCAGCTGTTGGATTTCTCTTATACTTACTTTTATCTGCAGTGCAATACAAGCTGCAAGCTCTTTGGTGCACATTTAAATTATTAGTCCTGCCATAGCTTTCTTAATTTTTGCTGAAACGCTCTTTTTGTATAGTGTTACTAAAGTGGCTCAAAGCAGATAGTCCTCTGCCTTTCACCTAGAATAATACCACAAGGCTTCTGATCCTGCCACCCTCACATCTCCAGTCACTTAATGGTTTGAGTGCACAGGAAACACAGGTTTGTTCCATACAGAATTGTTTGTGCTTTCTCTTGTAGTAGAAGAGAACAACCTTGCTGACGCAAGGGAACTTTTTGCAAAATCTTTCCACCACTGCTATCACTTGAGATCCATGGTGTTAGGAGCAGACTCCTATCCGCAGACTCCTATCAGCGTTTTAAGCGCTGTATCCTGCATCTTAGCTCATAGCCATGCTAAATGAGGATGATAGATTTTTCCAGTTGGTTTAGCATCTAGACAGATAGCAGCCAGGTAAAAAGCACGCACAAAATTCTGTTTCTTAGCTACACGAATACAAATCTTCAGTGGTTTTCTCAAAATTTATATTGAAGGTACTGAGGACAGAATTTACCCCCCTGTATGTAAATTTTAACGTCTCTAGTTTACTTCCCATAAAACATTACAAGTGGAAGAGATTTAAAAATTAAATTCACCTTTTTTTTGGCCATTCAGTCTGTTTACTGTTTTCCATTCCATTGGGGACAGTTGAAACAAATTAGTCAGTCTCATTTTTGTTCAGAGTCACTTTGGTTTGGTTTTTAATGCTAGCCCAGGACTTCCAGCATTTGGGTGGAAAAGACCAGAGGGCATTTTCAAATCCAAACAAATTGTTTTCATGGAAATAATTTCCTAGAGATTTTTTTTAAAAACATTTCCATGGATCCTGGATTCTGTAAGCCCCCTTATTCCCTCTTTGAAACCCCAGATTTTGAACAGTGTTCCTTTAAAGTGTGGACCCCAATCAAAAAAAACACAAAAACCAAGAAAAAAACCAAGGCGAACGCTGCTCTGTAATAAGCTACGCTTATTTCCCGAAAATATTTTTAAATGCTTCAACGTAATAAGCTTAAGCTTCATCTTAACATGAAAATTTGCCTCTGAATTATGAACCCTCACAAATAAGGGTTTATAATAGAAGCACTCTCGGACCCTTAATTATAGGGTAATAAATAGCAGTGCTATATTATCTTCTGATATTTCCTTACATGCCTAGTGAATGTACACAGCTGTTGTTGGAAACTGATAATCAAGTACTATATAGCTATATTACAACTTATACTTACAACACACCCTTCATGTAAGCAGCATCATAGAGCACTTAACAGTGAGAAGCAAAGAAAGCTGCTTCTAAGCAGAAGCATAACTGAACAAATGAGCTTTGAATTTTAATAGAAGAATCCCAGTCAAACCAGAATTCCTCCTCTTGGCAGGAGCAGGCAAAGAGCATGCCAAATGCAAAATCTTTGCTCCAACATCATGGAGGCAGGACTTAAAAAGCCAGCATAACTTAACGATCCATCAGGAATAGACGGAGCAGGAACATCA